CATACAACTCTATCAACCCTTCAGCAGTTAAACAACTAATGCATTCATTCATTTATTAATCACTTGAACGTTTCTGAGGCAATATGCGTATAGAGTAACTATGTGGCTAGAGGCACTTTTTGAGACGTTTCTATTTTTTTCCTGTTCATTCAGGGTGCAGGGATACTGAATGGAAGACAGTTAAGCATTTTAACCTTTTGAGTTTTCAACCTTCGTCTGGAAATTGAGAATATCTGCAGCCTGTAGGCAGCATTTTACATTCTCTAGAGAACATGAACAGGAAGTTACAAACAGTTTTAATAATGCTACCCATGCTCACAGCTAATAAGAAGAATTACTGCTTAAAATGTCAACTCTAATTATTTGTAATTGCTTGTTTTTTCATAAGAGCAAAGATAGAGATATTATTTTGAATTAATACACAGTCATTGAAAAAACACCTAAGGTAAAGAAAGAAAAAAAAAAAAAAAACACTGACCGAATATCGGCCACAAAATTCTGATTGGTGCATTTCCACAAACCAATACAGAGAATCATAAAGAACTTGCACCAAAAGAGCCCTGTAGAGGGTAGCACTGCTCAAATATTTATCTTCTAAAAGAAACCACTGAATGGCAGGCAGGCTATTTCAAAATACAAAAAGCGTACTTAAATAAATCATGGACAATTTGCTCCAGTTGAAGTCAACATATTACTGTATCCTGTCATTATAGCTCCAATAATCTGTACACTGATCACAGCTTAAACTGCTCTTAGGTTCACATCTTGTGCCTCGAGAGGGAAACCACAAACCAACCAATTCTGCTCATGAAATATCTCTGTGAAAACGCTTCAAAGCGTGTTTCTAACTTCACCAGCCAAGACCATTTTCACTTGCAACGACGTCTTCCCCGCTTCGGACCGCAACATGCAGCTCGACTCGCTACAGGGCAAGCAGACGTCAACAGGTCGGCGCGGGCGTGAATGTGTCTCGGTCGCTCCCCTTGTACGACAGAAAACGACAAGCTTCAATTTGCAGGCCTCCGCCTCTTCCTGTGCCTGCAAGCCTGCACAATGCGAGACAGTTTAAAGTCTAAGATGCTGCGCTGGCATTCGTTACTCCTTTTACTTCTGTTGCAAGTGATCTTTATCTAAGCAGGACCTGCACTGCTTGGCTGTTTTCTAAACAAAGATTTTCTGCCCAGCTCAAGAAAGAATTAAGCAAAAACCGTGCATTGTCTGTTCCTCTGCACATTTTATGCAAAACACACCTCGAGTCTTCTCACGTTTTTGTCAAATATTAACCACAAACCTTTGTGTATTTTACAAAGATATTTTGCAATAGACTGCAAAAAAAAAAAAAAAAAAAAAAAAAAAAGGGCAAAACAGTGAGGGAAAAAGAAACAGGTGGGTGGTTTTAAATTTTTGGTTAA